GGGATGGTCACGCCGCAATCCCTTCTCCTCCATTCTCCTCTCGGGATCTTGGGCACGCACGCACACGCGCCCGGCGTGAGTTTTAAGCCACCGGGTCCGGGACACGAACCGCGGTCGACTACGTGGGAGTCCAGCGACATAGCCATTACACTAACTGCTGGTTCCCAACATAGTGATTTATTTAAGACAGATTTTTTTTTTTTGCTATAAGGGCATGTGCCCTCACTGGAAAGAAAGAGACAGAGAGACAGACAGCAAGAAATCACGTCCCTTGAGGAGGATGGTCATGCCACAATCCCTTCTCCTCCAGTCTCCTCTCAGGATTTTGGGCACGCATGCAAACGCACCCAGCATGAGTTTGAAGCTACCAGGTCGATTTATTTAAGACAGATTTTTTTTTTTTGCTATAAGGGCATGTGCCCTCACTGGAAAGAAAGAGACAGAGAGACAGACAGCAAGAAATCACGTCCCTTGAGGAGGATGGTCATGCCACAATCCCTTCTCCTCCAGTCTCCTCTCAGGATTTTGGGCACGCATGCAAACGCACCCAGCATGAGTTTGAAGCTACCAGGTCTGGCATGAGTTTGAAGCTACCAGGTCTAGAACTCAAACTCTGGTCAACTACTCCCACGTAGATATAACCATTGCACCATCTGCTGGTCCCTGTGCCATAGTTTTTATGTGGATTCTTTTCCACATCTCAGTAAATATCATGAAGTATTAAAATGAAAAAATGTGGCAGAAATGAGAAGAAAGCATTTGTAAAAAGGCAACATGAGGGGGGCTAGCAGGTGGCGTGGTGGTTAAGGAGCTGGACAGTCCCACATGGCCAACCATAGTCCAAGTCTCGGACCTGGTGGCTTACTTTCTCACTTTCTTTCTCTCTGTGTGTCTTTCTCTGGTCCAATGAAAATGATGAAATGAATAAATAAAATTAAATAAATAATTCTTTTAAAAAAGGCAACATAAAGGAAATATAGTAATACTAGATTTGTTAGTAGAAAATACATAAAATTATATTGTGTATATACATGTATGAACATGTGGAGATCTTCAAAAAGTTCATGAAAATGTGTATTATGAAAAAACTATGCATGGATTTCTATGGGGTTTTTTTGCACCAAAATAAACTTGTACTTGAATTCCATTTTCTACATATTTTTGAGGTTCTTTTGTTTATTATATATATGGCTTGCTTTTGTTGCTTTTTAAAGAACCAGGTGGAGAGCCATTGCCCCCAGTTTTCTCCCCAACCTTTAATAAAACAGGATTATTTCCTGATGTCAGTCTACTCAGCTGGCTGCCAATTTTACTAAAGTCTTTCCACACTGGTTCTTTTCTTTTTTTGGAAAAGCTTTCACTACAGAGCGCATGCGCTCGCCAGACAGACAGAAAGAGACAGAGAGACAGAAAGCGAGAAATCACCCTCCAGAGGGGATGGCCATGCCACAATCCTTTCTCCATTCTCCTCTCGGGATCTTGGGCACGCACACACATACGCCCGGTGTGAGTTCTAAGCCACCGGGTCTGGGATGCAAACCGCGGTCAACTACGTGGGAGTCCAGCAACATAGCCATTACACTATCTGCTGGGCCCTTTCCACACTTTTCATATCTCTGAACTTCACTTCACTAGAGGATTCTATAATATGAACCAGAATGGATCAAGATCTCCCTGTTCTCTAGTGTCATAAGGTACTTAGCCACAGTAGTCACATTTTCTGTATTCTATTCCATTTTTTGGTGTCTGCCAGAATGTTGTACGCATACAGGAAACACTGAATTAATATAGATTGGTTCATGCTGTTAGATTTATGTAATAAAGTGTTCTCATACTAGGTCAAATTCTGGGCTATACGATCCCAGAGATAACTCCAAGTTGAATTTTTGTTTCTTTCCCTGTGATTTCTTAAAGAGAGGTAAACTATATATAGTAGTAATCTAGTTGTTTTTTTTATTTTTTGAGAGAGAGAGATTTTGCTATAGGGTGTATATGCTCACCAGAGAGACAGAGAGAGAGAAAAATGAGAAATCACCCTCCAGGGAGAATGGCTGTGCCACAATCCCTTCTGCACTGTCATCCTGGGATTTTGGGTGCACACACATGTGCCCAGAGTGTGTTTAAAGCTGTCAGGTCTGGACCTCAAACAGCCGTCGGCCATGTGGGGATCCTGTGCCCCAACCACCAGGGCATCTGCTGACCCTAGATTTTCTTTTTAAGAGAGATTTTTTGTTATAGGGCACATGCACTGGAGAGACAGAGAGAGAGAAACAGAAAGTGAGAAATCACCCTGTAGGGGGGGATAGCTATGCTGTAATCCCTTCTCCTCCATTCTCCTCTCATGATTTTAGGTATGAATGCACACATGCCTGGCTTGAGTTTTAAGGTGTCAGGTCTGAGACTCGAATCACAGTTGACCATGTGGGAATCCAGCGACATAACCTTTATGCCATCTGCTAGTCCCTGACCCAAGATATTTAGAAAGATTTCAAGATACAATTTATATAACATAAAACTCTCCCTCTTCAAATTTAATATCAGGGGAGTTCCAAAACTTTGAAAAAATAGAATTAAAGTGCAAATTTGGGACCAGCAGATGGCGTGATGGCGAAGGTGCTGAACTACAATATAGCTGACTGCAATTTGAGTCCTACACCTGGTGGCTTGCTTTCTTACTTTCCCTCCCCCCTTCCCTGTCTCTCTCTGGTGAGCACATGTGCCCTATAGCAAACTAAAAAATAATAATAATAATAATAATTGATAAAAGTAAATAATTCTTAAAAAAATAAAGTGTGAGCTTTTCTTGCAAAAATTTTTGAAATCTATGCATACTTTTTTGATAATACACATATTCCATGAACTTTTTGAAGACCCTGCATATTTAATGGTTTTTGTATATTTGCAAAGTTATGCAACAACCACTGCTATCAAATTTCAGGAGATTTTCATTACCTTCAAAAGAAACCCTTTGCCTGAGGCAGTCAGTCTATATCCACTCTTCCCGCTATCCTCTGACAACCACTTATCTACTTTTTGTATCTGTGGATTTGCTACTTCTGGATATTTCATACAAGTGAAATCCTATGTGATCTCTTGTTACTGGCCTCTTTCACTTATAATGTCTTCAAGGTTTTTCCATATTGTAGCATGTATCTGTACTTCATTGCTTTGTATGGCTGAATATTATTCCTTTGTATGGATGTACCAGATTTTGTCTAGCCATTAGTTGATGGACATCTAGGAAGAATCTATATTTAGCAACCTTTGTCATGAAATACAGGAAAAAATACAAATATTTTATTGATTTTATTGCAGTTAATCCTCCTCAGGATTTTGAGATAGTGGATCCCGGATATTTAGGTTATCTGTATTTGCAATGGCAACCTCCACTGTCTATGGATGATTTTAAGGATTGTCCAGTAGAATATGAGTTAAAATACCGAAACATTGATAGTGAAAGATGGAAGGTAAGTAAAGCATGCACTTGTAGTATCAGAGCGACCAGTTGGGATTTTCTTGTGGTTTCCAACTTCAGTGTCCGTTCTAATTCCGAGATCTCAATAGTCCTGATCAATATGTGTCAGGCAAGCATGGCTTCTTTTATATTCCATGCATTCGGCCGTATTCGTTTTCACCCCACCCAGTGTTAAAACTCTCATTGGAAGTACATAAAAAATACCCTGTCCCCTCGCATATGGACTTAAAGTATACATACATATTTTACAATGACTTATATACTTAATAATGGGTCTTACATATGCTGGAATGTGAGCTGTTCCTTTATAGGAATCAAGCCTTACTTATCTTTGTATCTGTACCATAGAACAAAGCATGGTTCTTTGCGTATATTGTAGTAAGTTCTCAGTGAAAGTTTGTTGAATTATTAACTATTTACATACTCCATGAGCACATTCATTCAAATATTTCCGTTGTAGAATCATTCTGTTACCTCTCTAATTCAGCTCGGGAGTTTCAAGGGACAATTTAAATCAAACATTTATTGAGCAACTTCTTGTGCCAGAGACTGCTAGGCATCCAGAATATAACCATAAACGATAAATGCTTTTCATCCTCCAGGAGCTCAGAATTTGTCCAGCTTTCTCCAGTTACCTGGGACCTATTACTTTACATGTTTCTGTGGGTTTTATAATCTAGTTCAAAGATGATCTATCATTTGCCAGGTGAAATATATATGGTGCATGGAAATTAGCTATCTGATTCCAAGTCGTTTATAGTTCAAGTGTCTGTAATAGGCCTTTTTTTCCTTCTAGAAGTTCTTGTTTTTGTTTTGAATGAGCTGCTAAGATTCAAATAGTCTCATCAAGAGGTATGATATACAAAGGAGAGCTCTGCTAGGAATATTCTGAGGTTTTGTGTGAGATCAGCATCTGGAGTGTGTGTTAGGTACTGGGGACTCTCCAGGGTATAAATGACTTCTTAGTCCTATGAACGTAGCTCACTATACCATGGAAATTTCTAACCTTAACTTTGTCTCATCTTTTTGTTTTGTTTTGTTTTAAATCAAACAGACCATCATTACTAAGAATCTATATTACAAAGATGGATTTGATCTTAACAAGGGCATTGAAGCAAGAATACACACAATTTTGCCAGGACAATGCACAAATGGATCAGAAGTTCAAAGTTCATGGACAGAAGCTACTTACTGGACATCACTACAAGGTTAAATCATGGGCTGGCAGGTGGTGTGGTGATTAAGGAGCTGGACTCCCACATGGTTGGCTATGGTTCAAGTCCCGGACCTAGGAGCTTGATTTTTTTTTTTTCTTTCTCTCTCTTTCTCGTGAGTGCATATGCCCTATAGAAAATGAAAAAATAATGATAAATAATTAACTTTTTTTTTTTAAAAGAAAGGTTAAATCTGTACCCTGTGACAGCGTAGCCATGGTGGCTCATGTCTTTTCAGCTTGTGTCCATGGCTTGCCTTTATGCCACTGTCCCACGTCCCTGCTGGCCACGGTTAGGATGTTCAGCACACGCTGTGCCCTGTGGGGGCCAGGATGAAGCCCAGGGATCCTCAGTCACAGTTGTCCTTGGTGCTAGCTCAAATTCCACATAGAGCTACACAGCTGTGCTGCCTTTGATGTTAGAGGGTATTAAAGACCGTGTTCGTTACGTCCTCATGCCCTATGACAAGATTGATCCAGAAAAGCTCTCAGTAAATTCCCTTTTTTTAAAAAAAAAGTTTTTCTTTTCTTTTTTAAAGAGCTATTTATTTATTTAATTCCATTTGTTATTATTATTTTTTTTAAATTTGACCACAGAGAGACAGAGACAGAGAAAAGGAAAAGGAAAAAGCAAGCCGCCAGATCTCGGACTGGACCCATGGTCGGTCATGTGGGAGTTCAGAATTTGAAATTCCTGATACAGATGCAGAACATTCAATGTGTCCTCAAGTAACTGTAGATTATGGGACCAGTAGCTGGCATAATTGACTATGTCGCTGGACTCCCATGTAGTTGACTGTGGTTCGAGTCCCAGACCGGTGGCTTAAACTCACGCCGGGCACATTTCTGGAGAGTGCCCAAGATCTCGAGAGGACAATGGAGGAGAAGGGATTGAGGCGTGGCCATCCCCCTGGGGGGTGATTTCTCACTTCTGTTTCTCTGTCTCTCTCTGTCCGTCTGGCGAGCACACGCGCCCAGTAGCAAAAACCTCACAAGAAAAAAGAAAAGAAAAGAAATTGTAGATTACATCGCAGATAAGAAGGATGTTTATGAATAAAATGCCAGAGCCCTTTTCTTCACTGAGAGGACTCTGATGATGCTGAAAAGTATCTGGAAGTGAGAACACATTTTGGCTTTATTGTTGACTGACAGAGTAATTCTGTTGGTCTTGTATTTAAGTTGGCTAAGTGGCTTGTCCTTTGAAAATAAATCTATAAAACCTAAAAAAAAAAAAAAAAGTGAAATCAAGGCTCTGTTTTGATATTTGAAACTGTCAGAACAAGGCCATAAGGTGGCATGTTGGTTCAGGCGCTATATTTCCATATGGCTAACCACGTTTCGAGCCCTGGACCCATTGGCTTGAAAATCACACTTGACGCATGTGTGTGCGTGAAATCAAGGCTCTTTTTTTATATTTGAAACTGTCAGAACAAGGCCATAAGGTGGCATGTTGGTTCAGGCGCTATATTTCCATATGGCTAACCACGTTTCGAGCCCTGGACCCATTGGCTTGAAAATCACACTTGACGCATGTGTGTGCATGCCCAAAATCCTGAAAGGAGAATAGAGGAGAAGGGATTGTGGTGTGGCCATCCCCCTGGGGGTGTGATTTCTTACATCCCTTCTCTCTGTCTCTCTTGTCTCTTTCCATTGAGGACATATGCCCTATGGCAAAAACCTAAAACAAACAAACAAAAATACAGTCAGAACAATCTTTGTAGTGTGTAAGTTCCTTAACTCTTATGCACCAGATCCTGTGACAATGTAACACTAAATAGAATTTTTCTTAGTAGTGAGTCACCGTCCCCCCTTTCTTTCTTTCTTTTTTTTTTTTAATAAACTCATACTTTTTAATTCCCTTTTTCCAAAACTTTTTAAAAAATTCATAATTGGGTACATATGTGCTCACATGAGGGTGAGAATGAGAGCGAAGAACACCCTTCACCGGGTCTGGTCACACTTCAATTCTCTTTCTCCAGTCTTCCAGCCCATTTGACCCTGAGCATTTGAGCACACGCTCTGTGTGTCTCAGACTGACTGGGCTGGGGATTCAAACCACAGTCACCATGTGGGGTCCAGCTTCTCTTGAGCAGTGCATTACCATTGTGCCATGGAGCTGGCCTGGTAACTGACCATTATGAATTTTTTACACTTGCAAACATACTGATAAAATTTTCATCTTATATTAATATAGTTCCAAGTGTTTGGGTGGTAGTAAATGTGTTTTGGCTCAACTGTTCAGAACATCCTAGAATAAGCAATTGTATATTTTTATATATGTTTCCATGAGTATTAGTAAATGAACCCTCAAAAATTTTTGATTTTGCACAGCCCACTTGTAGTGAAGAGATTACAATAAATTCCTTTAAAAATATTCCTGATTATATTGATTGCCAAATGTAGTATAGAAGTCAAAGAAAATTAAATAAATTTGGTGTAGTGATTTGGGTCAGCCAGTGGTGTGGTGATTAAGGCAGCTGGATGCCACATGACTGACTGTACAGTTTGAGTCCTAGACTTGGTGGCTTGAAAAACACACTGGGCATGTGTGTGTGCATGCTCAAAATCCCAAAAGGAGCGAATGATGGAGAGAGGCTTGTAGCATGGTCATTCCCGTGAGGGTTGCTTTATCCCTGCCCTTTTTTCTCTCTGTCTTCAGGGAGCACATGTGTCCTCTAGCAAATTTAAAAAAAAAATTGCACAGATATTCACAAATGCTTTGTCGCCTTGTCTTTCATGCATTCACAGTTCATTTATCCCTTAGGAAATCTGGAAACTAAAATTCAGGATATGGATTGTGTATATTACAATTGGCAATATTTACTCTGTTCTTGGAAACCTGGCATGGATGCAAATTCTGATACCAATTACAACTTGTTTTACTGGTATGTATTTTAGAATTAGAATTCCAGGGACCAGCAGGTGGCATGGTGGTTAAGGCGCTGAACACTCCCATATGGCCGACCATGGTTTGAGTTCCAGACCTGGTGGCTTGCTTTCTCACTTTCCTTCTCTCCCTTTCTGGTCAAATTAAAATAAATGAATGAATAAATAAAATTAAATAAAAAAGAATTCTTTAAAAAAAAAAGAATTCCATATTAGGAAACTACATACCAAAATTAGCCCATAGTATGAGCAACTATATTTTCGCTAGATTAATTTTATTAGGTATGCCACAATTGTATTTATGATGATGGTTGTTTACAATTATTTGGGGGTTTAAAATGGGACTAAGTGCTTGTAGGCAATAGTTGCTAGAAGGCATACAATGGGTGATATAAGAAATGTTATGATTTCTATACTGAATTAAATTTTGTATCCTTTACATAGAGTTATAACTTTAAAAATGTTGGCACATTTCATATTCTTGACCTTTAAAAAAAGCAGTTATCTGTTAAGCTATAGTCTTTTTGTGATGCCATCCTTTTGTTAACTGTCAACTGGACTCTTTTTTTTTTTTTGGAGAGGTTTTTGCTATAGGGCGCATGTGCTCGCTAGAAAGACAGAAAGAGACAGAGAGACAGAAAGTGAGAAATCACCCCCCAGGGGAGATGGCCAAGCCGCAATCCCTTCTCTTCCATTCTCCTCTCGGGATCTTGGGCATGCACGCACACGTGCCAGGCGTGAGTTTAAGACACTGGGTCCAGGACTCCAACTGCGTCTGACTACATGGGAGTTGACCGACATAACCATTATGCTAACGGCTGGTCCCCTGGACTCTTTTATTTCCTTCTTTCCTTATTTGTCTCATACTATTGTGATCACCATGTTCTGACATTCCTTTGCAAGGTGGCATAGTTGATTTTTCCTTCCAGTCTCTTAACTTCCTTACCTTACATTCCATACCTGGACAATCTCCATAGCCTTCCAAATGATCATTTCTTTGCTTCTAATCTCTCGCCTTTGCAATCTCACCCCTTCCTATGCATTCTGGATACAGCATCCAGCTTTATCTTCTTGTAGTGCCATTTTTAGATGCTACTCCTGTGTTCCAAAACCTCCAGTGGCAACTTGTAGACCCAAAGATACAATCTAGACTGCCATTCAAGTCTCTGCTTCCTTGTCTCGCTGCCTTTCCAACATTATTATCTGCCATCGCCAATTTGAATATTCCACTCTACTTATACCTACCTCTCAATTTCTTTTCTCCCCATGTTATCTTCTTTTATGCCTTCATGTACATTGCCATGTGCAATGCCTTCTGACTTTCTCTTTCACCAACTCTTATCTATATTTTGAGGTCATGTGATACCCAGTTTCATTAACCCTCTACTGATCAGATCAACTTCTGCTTGTTTTTTCTCTAGACTATTACTTTTTATAGCTTTTAATTAACTATTGTCCACGTGCACTTCAATTTTTCTCTTATCTGTATACTTTGTCTCCTCTCAAATTTTATGGGATTGATGGGCGTGGACTCCTTCTTGTATTTCTCTCAACTATTCTCTGCAGTGCTAAGCTCATAGTAGATTATCACAAAATACTCATTTTTATAAATGAATAAAGCAGATGATAATGTTGGCCAATTGAGAGGTTAAGTATCAGAATATATGCACTTACTAAATAATAAAAAACCCAGAGCAGAAAAAGTGGCTATTTGTTTTTTAGGCCTAAATTATCATGACATTTTTCTTTAGCATAATATATAAGGTATAAACTATGAATAATCCTAAGAACTGAGTTCTAATTCCTGCTCTGGGATCATTTAATTTAGTGGCGTTGGACAAATAATTTCCTCTTCTGGGTTCTCAATTTCCTCATCTGGAATGAGGTGGGTAAATTCTTAAGGTCTAAATTATTTGCTAAATTCAACAAGCATTAAGCATCCATTACTGTGGTTGAAAAAGACAAAACTGTATGGGAAAAAGTTCCTGCCCTCCTATATGTTGTAGTTTGTGTTTAATATAACTTTATCTTCATCTTAGTGAAACAGGGAGGGATAAATATTAACACTTTAAGGCCAGCCCTGTAGCTTAGTGGTTAAGAGAGCCAGATCTCACATGGCTGACTGGTTCAAACCCTGATATAGTGGCTTGACAAAAACATACCAGGCACATGTGTGTGTTTGCTCCAAATCCTGACAGGATTGAGATATGGAAGAGAAGGGATTGTGGTCTGACCATTCCCCACTGGTGAGTACTTTCTTCCTCCTCCCTCTCTGCCAATTTCTCTCTCTTGCTCTCTAGCAATTAAAAAAAAAAATCAGATACTGTAAAATAAGGCCTCTGCACTGTCACCAAGTAAATCCGTGTAGAGTCAAGCCTAGTACTCAAGGCTCCCAAACTCTAATCAGATGGACTAACCAAGAGACTATGATTTTGGGAACTGTGCTTAAAGAAAATACTTGACATAAAGTTAATTTTGTAGAGTCTGAGTGTTTGTACCAGCACTTTATCAGCTGCTCTACTGGCTTCATTTCGAAAAGGATTTTAGGGCCAGCAGGTAGCGTGGTGGTTAAAAACGCTGGACTCCCATGTGGCTGACCACAGTTTGAGTCTTGGACCTGGCAGCTTGCTTTCTCACTTTCTCTTTCTCTCTCTCTCTCTCTTTCCCCCCTCAGTCAAATTAAAAGTAGTAGTAATAATAATGATGATAATGAGGGACCAGCAGTTGGCGTAATGGCTATGTCGCTGGACACGTATGTAGTCAACCGAGGTTCCAGCCCTGGACCCGGCAGCTTAAACTCATGCCAGGCACATGTATATGTGTTCCCAAGATCCCAAGAGGAGAATGGAGGAGAAGGGATTGTGGCCATCCCCTTTTGGGGGTGATGTCTCACTTTCTGTCATTCTGTCTCTTTCTTTCTGGCAAGCACATGCGCCCTATAGCAAAAACCTCTCTAAAAACAATAAATAAAGTTAAATAAAGTAATTTTAAAAAAAGAAAAACAAAATCAAAACGGATTTTAGCTCCTTTCATAGATGTCATATTTTGTATTGCAAGCAACTCCTTAGGAAAATAAACCAGGCATTTGATACTTTGGAAGTCATTAGGGAAATCCCTAATTCCCATTAACTTTATTACTGGAATGAAGTTAAGTTAAAAATAAATGATAATATTTCTTGTTGATAGAATAGAACATTAGTCATTTACTTGCCAGACAACTAATTATTTTCTGTTTGCATCCACTTCTCCAAACCCTGGTTGGCTTTTCGAGGTTTATCTTTTGATGTGTGTTCTATCCTCAGGATCTTCATTCATTTTATTAAACATAACAGTATTTTGTAAGTCTGCTTTTAGATCTGGTTTATTCTAAAATTACTTCTTCAGTAAAATAGCAAGAAGGCAATATCATTCAGGATTATTTATGTAAACTGAAGTTTTTCTTAATAGGATTCCTATTCTTTGATTCACGGTGAGTCAGCATAACCAAAGTACATAAGAATCCTTACCAGCGAGATTGTTTGGAGACTCCTATCTGATTGTGTGTCATCGTGTCTAACAGAGTAGGTGCTCAAATAAGTATTGCACATGATTTAATGATGTTTTTAACTTCACAAGATAGAATAATAGAAAAATGAAGCACCATAACACTAAAGGATAGTGGTAAACACAATTCTCATACTTCTTTTTACAGGTATGAGGGCCTGGATTATACATTACAATGTGTTGATTACATCAAGGCTAGTGGAAAAAATATCGGATGCAAGTTTCCCTACTTGGAATCATCGGACTATAAAGATTTCTATATCTGTGTTAATGGATCATCAGAATCCATGACTATCCGAGCCAGCTATTTCATTTTTCAGCTTCAAAATATAGGTGATGTAAACGAACAACTTGAAATTCATTGTTTCTAGTTTAGGGCATTTATAACCACTTGGAAAAGAGAGTGAAAAAGAGAGAAAGGAAGGAAATTACTGATGTATGGAAATACAAAGCCAGAAAAATGAGGGCCAACAGAGTGTGTGAGAAAGTTCTTATTAGATATAAAGGTTTGGAAGATAAGAAATTGAAGGAAGGATTAAGTGTCATTTTTCACTTAGAACTAATATTTCCTAGCTTCAGCGGATCCATCTGCCTTATCATTCTTTTGTCTAGTGCTAGTGATGGGGCAATTATGAAATCACTTATTCTCAGGCCTTGCTAGGCAAATGGTTGAGTATTTTCAGAGTGTGTTCTCAGTTTTTGTTTTTTATTTGCCATAGGATGCTTTCATTCACCAAAAACAGACATTAAAAGAGAGATGTTGCCCCTAGGGGAGATGGGAAAGTGAGAAATAGCCCTGCACTGCAGCCTCTTCTCCTTCATTCTCTTGAGATTTTGGGCAAGCACACATACATCACATACATGCCCGGCATGTGTTTCAAGTCACCGGGTCTGGGACTTGAACTGTGCAGTTAGCCACATGGCATGCAGTCACCTTAATCTCCATACCTTCTGCTGGCTTTCAAATATTTTTTTCTTTTCTTTTTTCTCCTATTTTTTGTTTAGTGTTTTTTTTTTAAATTATTTATTGGGGCTGGCAGTTAGCATGGTGGTTAAGGGTGCTGGACTCCCACACAGCCAACCATGGTTCGAGTCCTGAAGCTGGTAATTTGCTTTCTCACTTTTGCTCTCTCCTTCTCACTCTGTTCCTTTCTGGTCAGATTAAAATAAATAAATATTTTTAAGAAAGAATTATTTATTTAATTTTACTTGTTATTTTAAAATTTGACCAGAGAGACAGAGAGGCAGACAGAGATGGAAAATGACAAAGCAAACTGCCAGGTCCAGGACTCAAACTGTGGTTGGCCATGTGGGAGTCCAGTGCCTCAACAACCATGCCACCTGCCAGCCCCCTTCTTCTTTTTCTATAGGGTGTGTGTGTGTGTCCTTGGAGAGACAGAGACAGAGAGAGGAAAAGTAAGAAATTACCTGCTGGGGGATTGGCCATCTCACAGTCCTTTCTCCTCCACGCTCCTCTTGGGATTTTGGGCACACACACATGCCTGGAGTGTCTTTCAAGTCACCAGGTCCACAATTCAAACATTGGAATTGGCCATGTGGGATCTGGCTGCCTTAACTATCATACCATGTTGCTGGCTCCTTCAGTTCTAAGAGTTACTAGAATGGCACAGAATAATAAACCAGACCTGAGTTTGAATCTTGGATCTGTCCCTTTCTAATTTTGTGACTTAGGGTGAATTACTTAACTCTCTGTTTTCTTTTTTTTTTTTTTTGGAGAGGTTTTCGCTATAGGGCGCGTGCGCTCGCCAGACAGACAGAGAGAGACAGAAAGCGAGAAATCACGCCCCAGGGGGGATGGTCACACCGCAATCCCTTCTCCTGCATTCTCCTCTCGGGATCTTAGGCACACATGCACACGCGCCCGGCGTGAGTTCTAAGCCACTGGGTCCAGGATGTGAACCGCGATCGACTATGTGGGAGTCCAGTGACATAGCCATTACGCTAACTGCTGGTTCCCTCTGTTTTCATTTTTCATTCAGTAAAATGAAGATAATAGAGGAGCACCTTATAGATTTGTTGTGAGATACGAATGAGATTATGATGCAACATTCTTTGTTCAGTGCCTGACAAGTCATAAGCAGTAAATAAGGGTTAACTAGGAATAAAATTATTAGCAGTGCTGGTTGTGGTTTTTTCTAATGCTATACAATGGAAAATGATTATAATGATTTGAGTCTTACAACTTTTCTCTTGAATATTTATCAATATGTGACTTAAAATATTTATCAATGTATGACTTAACAAAAAATGAGTTTCCAAGATAACCAAGCTTCTCAGTGGACACATTTTGGCTGGCAAGCAACTATGAGTTTAATGCATATTTAATAGTCTTGAGTCACCTGGTTTATTCTTGGAGGCTTTCATTACTAGATATCCTCACCTTTGGATAACAGCTTCTGTTAAATTTTAACAAACTTCATATTGAAATGTTTTCCTTTTGCTTTTCAGTTAAACCATTGCCACCAGGTTATCTTAGTCTTTCTATGAAGAATTCCGACTAAGTTAACCTAAAATGGAGCATACCTACAGGACCCATTCCAGAAAGGTGTTTCATTTATGAAATTGAGTTCGCAGAAGATGATACTTCCTGGCTGGTATGAATATTGCATTTATTCGGGATAATCATAAAAATACCCTTTTCAATAAAACAGCAAACATGAGAACCAAAACCAGTTGTTATTCACATGAAGAGTAGGACATGACATGTATCTTAGTTTAATTTCCAGAAGGTCAAATAACCTAGCAGTTGAAAGAAAGAGATTTGGAATTTGAAAGCGTAAGCAATCATGTGGCTTTAAAAGCTCTGTAGGACCTTAGAGCTAATCTAGTCACTTTTTTCCAGTTTTGTATAAATACATCAAAGTCACCAAGAGTTTACAATGGATTATGAAAAAGATTCAGGAGGAAAACAAACAAACAAAAATAAACACAAACCCAAAAACACCTCTTGAGGAGCAACCATCAGGTCAAAATTAGAGTATGGCTACGAGAGAATGGCCTCTACCAGAGCAGAGGGGCTAACAGGGAAGTAGGCACTGCTCCCTACCACCAAGAATGTAGTAATTTTTTTTTTAAGAATTATTTTATTATTTAACTTTATTTATCCATTTATTTATTTTAATTTGACCAGAGAGTGATAGTGTGAGAGAGAGAGAAAGAGAACATGAGAAAGCAAGCTGCCACATCTGGGACTCGAACCGCGGTCAGCCATGTGGGAGTCCAGCGCCCTTAACCACCATGCCACCTGCTGGTCCCAAGAATGTGGTAATGGTTTTAACCCTGTATTGTCACAGGTTCATTTTATTCATTGGTTTCTAATGTAGGTAGTGGTGGAGACCAGTAGGTGAGAGAGTGAGACACTTTTTGTTGTTGTTTTTTAAGACAGGGACAGAAAGCAAGAAATCACTCCCCAGGGGGCGCTGGCCATGCATCAGTCCCTTCTCCTCCATTCTCCTCTCAGGATCTTGAGCACACATGCACACGCGCCTGACATGAGTTTTAAGCTTCCGGGTTCGGAACTTGAATTGGTCAGCTACGTGGAAGTCCAGTGACATAACCATTGTGCTACCTACTAGTCCGAGACACTGGTTCTAATTAATGCATTTCATATATGGACGAGAAAACTGATTCTTGACAGGTCTCAGGGAGGTGAATTGACTTATAATCAAAATTATATAGGTACAATGAGAATCCAGATGTGATTTCCAGTCTACTTAAGTGTACACCATATTATGCTGGTTCCCAAGATAAGTTACAACAATTAAAAGCTGTAACTTTGGATAAGAAAAGTTCTTCAGCCTGTTGAAATGTGCAATTGAAGTAATTGCTCCAGTTTTTTTTCCCCCTTTGCAATCACCTGCCTTGTAGTATTTTCCTATCTGAAATAGTAGTTTCATGCTAAGCCCTGAGCACTACTACCCAGGTCTGATTGACATTAACCACAATAATGGGGAAAAGCTTTATGTGTATGAACTCTATAGTTCACATAGAAACAACATTCATGTAATGGCTGTGTCTTTTGGTAACTCGGTGTACGTAGAATCTTCCAGCTTATAAAATTTGAGAAGTTTGACATTAGTCCAGACTTTGGGTATTAGAGGAATTTTGCCTTCTCATATGTGCTATCTTTTATATGAGTGATCCATCATCATTGCAGAAAACGTTTAAAGTACAGGCAAGAAAAGAAAGGGGAAAAAAAAAAAGAGCGATTGTTCAAAAAAAAAAAATCCCACCATACAGAGAGACGACCACTGCTAGGATCATACCTTTCTAATCTTTCAATGCATATCTTGTATGTAACAAAATCCACTTTGAAAGTAACAGATGGAATCTGTCTAGCTGCAATTAGATCAAATAATGACATCTTATATTTTCCTTGGCTTTCAGACGACCACAGTGGAAAATGAAATGTACATCACAAGAACCTCAAATGAAAGCCAACAATTATGCTTTTCAGTAAGAAGCAAAGTGAATATTTATTGCTCAGATGAAGGAATTTGGAGTGACTGGAGAATTGAGTTTACAGAAGATGATACTACCTGGCTGACGACAACAGTGGAAAATGAAATGTATATCACAAGAACCTCAAATGAAAGCCAACAATTATGCTTTTCAGTAAGAAGCAAAGTGAATATTTATTGCTCAGATGAAGGAATTTGGAGTGACTGGAGTGAGAAACAATGCTGGAAAGGCAGTGCTCAGAGGATAGGAACTAGATCACTGGAGCTATTTGCGAGCACAGTTCATTTGCTTTGAGTGTAGTTTGTAATTATGGAAATCAAAGGCTCTTGCGCATAGTCTCAGAGAAGATAAAGCACTTCAATAGAGCATAGATTTATCGGAAGTCTAATATTCACCTGTAAGCTGGGAGTCTTGTTATACTTCTATTATCAACATTCTGGTTTTTCTGACTGTCTGTTAAAAAGAATATGCTAGTTCTTTTCAGGGTGAAGTCAGGAGCCCCTTTGTAATCAATATTTTCTTGTGTTTTCAGTTTTCAAGAGAACAGAAATATTAAAACAAGGGTAGACCAGCCTACATTTATGTTTGAGTGTCTAGTACTATGCCTAACAGTTTTCTAATTATGATGTCATTAGTTAAATGCGTATTCCATTTACTTTCAACACTGAGTTAAAAGTGATTTATGATAAAAAGACATCTAAATTACATAGCAACATAAGCTATAAAGCTTAGAGAGTGAGGCAAAGTGAGATTGTGCTTTCAATATACTAGCTTTATCATTAAAAATTACTAATAATTGGGGCCAGCAGGTGGCATGGTGAGTAAGGTGCTGGACTCCCACATGACTAACAAGTGGCTCGAGTCCTAGACTTAGAGGCCTGCTTTCTCATTTTCCCTGTCTGTCTCTCTCTGGTGAGTGCACATGCCCTAAAGCAAATTTTTAAAAAATAATAATAAATACAATTAAATAAATAATTCTTTAAAAAATCTTCAAAAATTGCTAGTAATTGTTCAAAATGGAAAGAAATCAATTCAGTGTTGCTCTTTCAGGTATATAGATGTAGATACTACTATAAATACATACACAGATTTAGATACAGATAGATACTGGCTTTATTTTTTAGAGAGAGATTTTTCTATAGGGTGTGTGTGCTCACTGGAGAGAGAAAAAGACAGAGAGACAGAAAGCAAGAAATCACCCCCAGGAGGATGGCCACACCACAATCCCTTCTCCTCCATTCTCCTCTTGGGAATTTGGTTATGCACATAAACGTGCCCGGCATGAGTTTTAAGCCACTAGGTCTAGGACTCAAACTGCGGTCAACTACATGAGAGTCCAACGATGTAACCATTATGCCATCTGCTGGTCCTGATACTAGCATTTTAATGAATTGTTCATCTCCTTTTATGCTACTCTATTGGGTTGTTTGGAAAGTCATGACACATTTTTGCATAGAAAACGAGAAAAATATGTCATGATTTTCCCAACAACCTAATATTATAATGGAATTTCTACTATCTTCCTATGAATCTAGTGGTATCTTTGTTCCCTTTCATGCTTCAATTTTATTAAACAACTAATATGTTTCAGTCTTCTCTGATGCTGGAGATACAATAGTAAAGAAATCCCTCCCTTTGCGGAACTTACATTTTATTCCCAAGTTGAGTAGAGATGGGCAGTAAACAAAGAAGCCAAAAATGTTATAATCACAAGGGTCATTGAGGAAAAATAAGTAGGGCAGAAGAGAACTCAGTTAACCAAGAGATAACATGGGATCAGAAGGAACATTTACTGGTTCTATGCTTTTTTATTGTTGTCAATGCTACAAGAAATCTGGAGACTCTACATAAGGTTATGTTCTGAATCTTGTTAGTCCATGCTTTATATAGTCGATATGGTGAGTATTTAGCCCCATTTTCAAAATGAACATCCTTTCATGTGTTTTACATACACTCTTATGCGATATTGATGACTGCGATTTGTTTTGCTCTGATGGATAGGTATCTGTTTGTGAAATCTTGTTTTTTCTTTTAAGAGAATTATTTATTGAATTTTATTTATCATTATTATTATTTTTTAATTTGCTACAAGGCATGTGCACGAGAGAGAGAGAGGCGGGGAGAGAGAGAAGGAGAGAGAGAAAGTAAACTGTCAGGTCTGGGGCTCAAACCACAGTTGGCCATGTGGGAGTCCAGTACCTTAACCACTATGCCACCTGCTGGCTCCTCTTGGTGAAATCTTATTGGCTTTAAAATTCAGAACAAAGACTTTCTTGAGTTGCATGTGGTCTTAGTTCTTTAGGATATTTTCATTTCAAGTTCTAGAAAAGTAGGACAGTAATGTTTTTGGAAGTAAAAATATATTCTTTTCAGGCTTGCATAGGAAAAGGAAGTAGAACCTCAGCAAAGGAACTCCTGCCTTCCTGTTGTTAATTTGGCATGACAGAAAAATCAGTCAGCAGTCATTTCTCTGGATTAACTGAGCTGAGCATATGAATTTGGTCATTTTTCTAGTAGAAAATAAAATTCTAAGGGAATGGGACTATAAAAAACATGAGATGAGGGGAGATTTGTAGGTCTGGGTGAAAGATTCAAGATGCTTTAAATGACTGCAAAACAAGTGGGAGATACTAGTTTGCGAAGGACCGACTTTGCCTACTTTTTATGTTTATTTAGTGGTGGCTCATTTCTTGCTAGTGAAAGGTCATCCTAAAATAACAAAACAGAAAGAAAATCTTATCTCTCCTTTTAGTTTCTAAAATTTAAGACAGTATTTAAAAAGGTGACCTTAAAAGATTAGCTTCAGGATGCCTATTTGGCTTGGTGGTTAAGGCAGTTGTATCCCACATGGTGAACCCTGCAGTTCGAGTCCTGGACCCGGTGGCCAGAAAAACATGCTGGATGCGTGTGCATGTGTGTGCAAAATCCCTAAAGGAAGATAAGGTGGAAGAAAAGAGGTTGCAGAGTGACTGTTCCCCATGGGGGTGCTTTCTTCTCTCCCTCTCTGTCTGTCTGTCTCTGGCAAGTGCAGGCACCCTCTAGTATAAATAAATAAATACATAAATAAATAAATAATAACATTTTTTAAAAAGCTCCATTACTCACAGGAATTCTCATCAATGACCAGCTCTTGATCATTACAGTATCATATGATAGAATTCAACAATTTGATTTCTTGTGCAAATTAAGAGATGCGCAACACAGGGCCAGATGGTGGTGCAGTGGGAACAAACTGGGTCCCCTTGCAAATGTTCCAAGTTCACGTCCTGGTGCTCTCCTGTATAGGCTGGGTGCACAAGCAGGTGCCCTTTATCTGGGCTGGCAGAAACTAAGGGTAGTTTGCAGCATGAGGACGCTGTTGGGGTTGCCTGCCGCTCTCTGTGTCTCTGTATCTCATGAAAGAAATAAAGCAAACTTAAAAAGATAAAAAAAAAAATGGTGCAGAGGACATTTAAAAAAAAATGTTTTTGCCATAGTGCACATGTCCTTGCCAGAGAGAGACAGAGAAAGGAAAAGTGAAAAATCACTCCTCCGGGTGGATGGCCAAGTCATAATCTCTTCTCCTCCATTTTCCTCTCTGGATCTGGGGCACCCGTGCACAGGTGCCTGACTTGTTTCAAGCCACTGGGTCTGGGACTTGAACTGTGGTTGGCCGCGTGGAAGTCTGGCACCATAACCACTACGCCACCTGCTGGCCCCCTTGGTGTGATTTTCAAACCATCAAGTCAGCCTGGAACCATGGTCAGCTGTGTGGGAGTCTACTATCTTAACCACCATGGCACTTGGTAGTCCCAGGACTTGTTCGTTCAATCACTTGGTTAATATTTCAGTATTTTTTGTGTGTGAAAAATTCACAAGGTCAAATTTTAAAAGCATATTAGGAAATAGGAATTGTGTTTTGGGAAGTGATTTTTCCAAGTGAAATAAAAAGATGTCACAGTTCAATAAAATACCTGTTCTGTATGAAAAGTGCACAAGTGAGGGGAATGGTGTACTCCAGCACAGCTATATCATCTCAAGATTAACTCGTTTCTCCATCATTTGTTTGAAGTATATAAAACAGTTGTTTCATGGGGGCTGGCAAGTGGTATGGTGGTTAAGGGTGCTAGACTCCCACCTGGTCCACCGTGGTTCAAGTCCTGGACCTGGCGGTTTGCTATCTCTCTCTCTCTCTCTGGTTAAATTAAAGTAAGTAAACAAATAAATAAAGTTAAGTAAAATAATTCTTTAGAAAAAAAGAACAGCATTGTTGGTTTTTTAAAAAATATAGTATAAGTCTCTAACACTTCCCCTGTTTTGTTCTTTTTAATCCTAGGTAACATATGGAAGGAAACTTTGCTATTTTTCTTGATACCATTCGCTTTTGTCTCATTATTTGTTTTGTCAATAACTTGTCTGATTTTTCATAAGCAAAAAGCTTTATTGAAAATGGTAAGTTATGTAACATTATAACACTTAGCCTGTCTGAGACAGTAGATAACAAAGTAGTGCTCTGAGTTTAGCACCACTGGACCTATATTTTATAATTTTGCCTGCTGACTGGGTATACAGTTGGTGCTGCATGGATTATGATGATATCTTCAGAAAACACAATAATTAAACAATTGGCCCTGGGGCCCGGTGGGTGTCTTGGTGATTTTATCGCTGGACTCCCACATGGCTGACCATACTTGAAATTCTGGACCTGGTGGCTTGCTTTCTCATTTTCCCTCTCTCTTTTGCTCTCAGGTCAAATTAAAAAGTAATCTTTTGGGACCAGCAGTTGGCATAATGGCTGTGTCGCTGGTCTCATGTAGTTAACTGCGGTTCGAGTCCTGGACCCAGTGGCTTATACTCACGCCAGGCGTGTGTGTGCCCAAGATCCCAAGAGGAGAATAGAGGAGAAAGGATTGTGGCCATCCTCTCTTGGGGGTGATTTCTCACTTCCTCTCTCTGTCTTTCTGGCGAGCGCATGTGCCCTGTAGCAAAAAAAATCCTCTCCCGTTCAAAAAAAAAAAAAAAAAGTAATAATAAT